GCAGCATCTCAGTCCTGAGATGTCAGGGCCAAAAAAAAGGAGAGCAAGGAGCAGGCCCTTGTGATATCACAGGTGTAGGGCAAGCACAGGTTAGGAGAGGGAAGATTTTTGTCTTCTGGTTCTGTTATGCTGCACCCAGGGCTTGTGCAAGCAAGGTTATGAGTTGCTATACTGATGCCAGTTGGGTTTGCATCTCTGGTTCAGTGAGTTTGTGGGATTTTTCCTTTTTATAGCTTCTTTAGATAGACGGATAAATAAATTGTATGTCCTTCCTTCTATCACTTTTTAAGAGAACAACAACCCTGGAAGTGGCTAAATGATGGCCTGGCAAATCAGAGCACAGAGTCCCACAAACTACAAATAAATTATGCCTCTTGACACATTGATTACTGACTCCCTTTTAAAGCAAGCGCTTGTTAAAGCAAGGGCAGTGACTATAGTTTTCCTCTGAGCCCGACCAACTGTGCAGGCTGAGCTAAATATTATAAGAGACACACTTTGTTTGCATGCCAGTCTCTGCCTCACGTCATTAGCTGTCTCGACTGTGTGGGAAGGACATAGCAAACCACACTGCAGTGCCATCGTGTTAAAAAGATCAGGGAAAGGGGGACAGACACAAAACAGGAGGAATTCTGCTCATCTGGGCAAGGCCCAGCTAAACCCAGAGAATCCCATCCTATGCAGGTCTACTCAAAGAATAATCCTGTCTGGGTTCAGTGAGGCTTAGTCCCAGGGCAGTGTTATATATTGCTTAGAATGCTGGACTAAATGCTGTTCCCAGGGATTTGTATCCTTTTAGGTTCCTCACTAAGCCCTGATGTGAACAGGACTCCCCACAACATCTAAACAAAATGTTTATTTTATCCAGTATATAAATAAGGTTTTCCCCTGAGTTTCTACACTAGCAGCACCTAGAAGCTAAAGCTGGCTCACAGCCAGAGTGCCAGTTGCCAACAGAGATTCAGGGGACCTGTACAAACACTCTACACAAAGAGGGTGCCCAACAGAGGACCCGCACAAGAGATGGCAAGAAGAGGAAATGGTTGCTAACTACCTTGCAGGGTACACAACTTCCTATTCCTTACTTCACCCGCACAAGAGATGGCAAGAAGAGGAAACGGTTGCTAACTACCTTGCAGGGTGCACAACTTCCTATTCCTTACTTCCTAGGCGGGGTATAAATCAAATAAACAATAATAAATAATAATAATTCTTCCTTTAAGCCTGCAGGGATCCTACTCAGCCACAAAGAAGCGTTCACCAGTACTACCCACTTACCCACTTAGCCAATCCCTCTCTGGCACCTTTTATAAACCAGGAAGGGCAAGGGTCACCCCGCGAGCTTCATAACCCTGTTGGGTTTGAATCTGGTTCTTCCAATTCTTAGCACTTCCCCAAATGGGAGATTTTTTAGCACCCCATCTTTTTTGTTTGAACTTGTGATTTACTGGGATTTAGCAGGATTCACTTCCAAACTAGATCTGAGGAAGACTAAATAAGGGGTGGATTGGCTCCATCAAGGAATCCACAGTCTTGAGTTTACAAGAGTTGAGCAGGACATTGGGGAAACAGCTGAGATAGATTCGGAGGGGCGGGGACTAGAGATGGGTAGGAAAGTTTTTCGTAGTGAGACGCCGGCCACAGAGACCGGCGAAACGTTAGGAAGAATAAACTTCAGAACACGGCCAAAGAGCCTGAAAAACCCACAAACAACCAGCTGAGATAGAATTTATATGCATGATAGACACCCATAAAATGGATTGAATATAAGCCTAGGTTTTTTAAATCATCACCAAATGTAATGCTTATGCTGTTATCTACTGTTATTTGCCTTCACAACTACCAGACACAGCTCTCCTTACAAAGCTCAAAGGTAAAACCTGATAATATTTCCTGTACCAAGACACACAATTCCCCTGCTATTTCTGTATTTTCTTCCCCGCATTTCCCTTCTTGGGTTTTTGACTGATACCACCAATTTCCCTTCCCTCCTCTTTTGCTCTTGCCTGGTTAACTGCTTTCCATCTCCTGTGGGAATGTTTACAATAGAGTTTAACAGCAAACATTGGCCATAAAATATTGCCCGTGATATATAACCACACACCCAGGATTCTTAAAACTGATGAATGTTTTGAATGTTTTGCTTGTGATTTCCATATTTCATTCTATATTTAATTTTTTCCATATGTCTGCAGAAGAGAATGTGATCCACGAAAGCTCACAATCAAATATAATAGTCTTTAATATGCCACATGTTTTTGTCTTCTTTGTTTTATGTTGTGTTGTTTCTTTGGATTTTGCTTGATATGCTTGCACAGACTAACACAGCTACATCTTCTAAAACTAAGAACAATGATAAATGTAATGATAGTAGCCATGATCAGAGTACAGAATGCTTTAATGCACTTGGATGAGAGGTATAGTTATGATGACCAATGTAAAACTGGCAGGGATAAAAGCCAGGATATAATAGACACTGCTAACAAAGACTGTGGACCAAACTGCTTGAAAGGATGTGTTGGAACAGCTGTATTGGCACTGATGACAGTGTGCACTCTGTGCTTATACGAACTTCAGAGCTTACTGACATCTGTTTGTGGCTGCACACTATCTGCGTAATGCTATTGATTAGCAATTAGGTGGCCAGAAGGTGAGAGACAAAACGTTGCTAGAGCACGGCTGCTTATTGTGGATGTAACACCTGGAGAGCATCTAGTAAAGGTAAAGGTAAAGGTTCCCCTTGACAATTTTTTTTGTGTGCAGTCGTCTTGTGGCTGCACACTATCTGCGTAATGCTATTGATTAGCAATTAGGTGGCCAGAAGGTGAGAGACAAAACGTTGCTAGAGCATGGCTGCTTATTGTGGATGGCACACCTGGAGAGCATCTAGTACAGTATTGCTATGTAAATGTACAGTTGTGATAGATACTTTTTTGTGTGCAGTCGTCTTCGACTCTAGGGGACGGTGCTCATCCCCGTTTCCAAGCCACAGAGCCAGCGTTTGTCCGAAGACAATCTTCCGTGGTCACATGGCCAGTGTGACTTAGACACAGAACGCTGTTACCTTCCCACCGAGGTGGTCCCTATTTATCTACTCGCATTTGCATGCTTTCGAACTGCTAGGTTGGCGGGAGCTGGGAAAAGTGACGGGCGCTCACTCCATCACGTGGATTCGATCTTATGACTGCTAGTCTTCTGACCCTACAGCACAGGCTTCTGCGGTTTAGCCCACAGCGCCACCACATCCCAACAGCGCCACCACGTCCCATAGTATTGCTATGTAAATGTACAGTTGTTATAGATATCTTTTAGCTCTGCACTTTCAGCCGTGGTAGACCTACACTTCCACTTCAATCCCCAGTCAGAGCAATAGAGAAATAGTCTATTAAACCAACGGCAGCTTCACTTCTACTTTTCAATTGATATATTTCTTGGTTCATCATCAGGGATGAAATGCATGTGTACATGGCAAAAACAAGGAATTTTTTTTCACAAGGGTGAAATCCTAGTGCAAAAGCCAAAGTACCTGAGACACCAGCTTCACATTTAGGAGCTATGAGCGCATTGATTCTCCAGCTGTTTGCCTAAGCAATCAGACTTGCAGATCAAGCCCACATGCGACTGTCTGAAACACAAAGCAACCTAGGGGATGATCAGAGGGTGAGATAGCCTGTGTTCTGAACTGCTAGTGGCACAGGCCAGTTTCAGTTGTTTTGTGGCACCTACGTGACTTACAGTAGATGAAATCATGAATTGTTCTAACCCTGCTCCATGTCCAACCCAGGCCTTTTTGTACCTGTTCCTGGAGAGGTCTGATCTGGTCACAGTGACATATCCCTTAATTATGTCCTAGCTGAATTTGGGAAGTGTTTGGAGACTTCAGTGGTTGAAAACACTGCAGCTAGATTGTTAAATGGGTCCGGGCACAATCCAGGCACAATTCAAAGTTGCTGGTTTTAACCTCTAAAAGCCCTAAACAGCTTGGGTCCAAGCTGTCTCAAAAGATTGTATCTCCCATTATGAGCTGGCTCAGGTGTTACGATCATCAGAGGAGGCCTTTCTCTTGGTACTACCACCTTCACAGGTGTGTCTGATGTGGACACAGGAGAGGGCCTTCTCTGATGCTGCTCCTCCAGACTTTGGAACAGCCTCCCACAGGAGGACAGACTGGCCCCATCTTTGCTGTCTTTTTTGCAAAGAAACAAAGACCTTTCTCTTCAGACAGGCTTCTCCTTAGTAAATTGTTGTATAAGAGAGGTTTTAAAACAGGATGGTTTGTAATTTTTATTGCTTTGAAATCTGTTTTAGTAGTGCTTTTACCTAACATTTTAAATATAAAGTTTATTTAATTCTTTTTAAATATTTGAATAATTTGCTCTTTTTAGTTTTTAATATTGTGTTTTTAATGCTGCAAATTTCATTGGGTCCTTTTTTAGGAGAAAGATGGGGTTAAGTAAGTAAGTAAGTAAGTAAGTAAGTAAGTAAGTAAGTAAGTAAGTAAGTAAGTAAGTAAGTAAGTAAGTAAGTAAGTAAGTAAGTAAGTAAGTAAGTAAGTAAGTAAGTAAGTAAGTAAGTATCCAGTTTGACTCAGGGTCATACATTTTAATGTATCTATTACATTCAGACCCCCCATTTTTGCTTTTCAGAAAACACAGGGGCCAAATTAATTCTATTGCTGAACTGAAGCACAGCTACTGCAGCTTTGGCTGGGGGGGGGCAAAGATCTGGTCCTGTATATTTCCTACCCCCTGCCTCTGCATCATAGAAATACTGAAGAACCCAGGAGTAAACAAACTGGATGGGAGAGGGGGTGGGGGTGGGGGAAATGTCCATTTCTATTTTTAGTATAGTCATGATTCATTGTAAAAATAGGAAAAGAAAGAATCAGTGAAAGCTTAGCTAGGAAGTTGCGAAACTGTAGGTTAGCCACGGGTGTGGGTGTAATATTTCTCTCTCTTTCTGCCTCATTCTCATTCTCCCTCTTTTGCGTCCTTTTCCAGCTGGGAGATGCACCTTCTCCTCCTCCTCCTCCTCCCACTGCTCCAGACTGTCTGCGGCCTGATGTCCGAATCCCTGCCTTTCAGAGCCAAAACTGCTCCGACTACCAGCCAAACCTGAACATCACCCACGGTTTCCTCTTCCCTCCCAGTTAGTACTACTCTTTATATAGAAAGAGCATAACATTTTAATCAGATGGATGTGGCTGAGCATTTAAACATATACATGGCACTGGCACCATCCTCTTGGGATAAGCGTGGCAGGCTTCAGGAAAACAGAGAGGCTTTCAATAGTGGTTTTGCTTGTATGGAAAGAAGGAAAACTAAAGAGTATCTGCTGCATTTTGTAACACCAGGGCATGGGGTTCTTTGAGTCATGCCCAAATATTTTTGTTCATCAGATTGAGATTTGGATTTACATGCAGTGAGAAGCAATGGAGTCTGGTGACCTTTTTTCACAGGAGTGATGGATATGCTGGAGGGGGGCTGGGTTTCAGGGAACGTTACAGGAGCGATGCAAAAATGTTGAACCCAATTTTCAAAAGAGGCTCAATAGCTTATATAGCTTCTTGCAAAGTTTGGAGGGGAGTTAGCACCTTGCTCTGTGAAATCAGAGTCATCAACCCCCACTAGTAAGGAGATGAGAAGGTGCTACAGGAAAGGTACTTGTTGCCCAACCGGTTCATTTCTTATTCAAAAGCTAGTTCATGGTATATTCAGGTATATGGATGTTTCAGTTTTCAACCCATCTTTTGAATCCTTTTGGGTCTGCCATGGCATTAGAAATGTTAGAATCTGGACACGTTGATCCTAATAAGCCCACACACACCCCTTTAGAAGGCAACAATGTGTATTACGACATTTCATCCAAATGGAACATGTCGATCCTGTTGCTTTCAGAACCCCCCTCTTTTCATATTCTTGAATGCGCCCTGGATGTGAATTCATTTTCTGAGCATGAATCCTTTGGTAGTGAAGGCAGCACCAGCAGGGCAAGGGAGGAATGAATCAGTGGATGTGAATTCATTTTCTGAGCATGAAACCTTTGGTAGTGAAGGCAGCACCAGCAGGGCAAGGGAGGAATGAATCAGCAGGCTTAGAGAACCTAAAAATGTGCATTAAGTAACTAAGTAGCTTTAAGAAGACACTTAATGGGGGGAAACTGAAAAGATTCCCACAAAAATTGCTTGAAACTCTGACTGGTTGTTGGATGGGGAAAGGGGAGCATTCTGGAAAAGGGTGTGGCTGTCTGTCTGGAAGAGGAGAACAATGTTGTAGGTATTATAAGTTTCCTTGTATTTGTTGCCAAGTTTCCATGGGAAGATACAGTAAATATCTTACCTGAAGTGCTTTTTGTTGATTGCATCCTTCAGTATTTTAAGCAAAACTGTATTCAGCAAAACTGTACCTTTGACTTATATTCCACTCTTAATACATACAATTTTTCACAGACCTCAATTCATCTGAGCTTGAACAATATGATGCTTTACTCACCAGCAACATTGTTCCCATGTACAAAGAATTCAAAAGTAAGTTCTGATCACATTGACCTATGTTTTGATGTATATTATTTGTGAATCAATGTTTGCTTTTCTACCCCATGCATATACACTACAGTTTCCCACTCATATTTGGCCATGTTGCTTTTTTCCTTCTAATGAGGGATGAAGAACATGGGGCCCTCCATATATTTTGGATTACATCTCCCATCAGATTTGATCAGCATAGCCCAAGGTGAAGGCTGATGGAACATGGAGTCCTAGAAGACTGAAAGGCCACACATTCTTTGTCTTGCCCTAAAGGCTTCTATGGCTTTCCCTTCTTTGTAAAGAGAGAACAAGACCTCCACCACCTCCAGGCAGTGCCATGTCTGTTTCATCTGTGTGGATGAGTCAAAAGCATTTCCTCCAAGTATTCCGTTTGCTTTTATTTATGTTTTAATCTTAAGAGGTGCCTTGAATTCCAGTGCTCAGAAAAAAGTGGTATATAGATCAAATAGACTGATTAATTAAGTGGTTGATCTCAATTTTTTCCTTAAAGAAGGCAAAAACAGCTTTGGGAAGCCGTAGCTCTGAGACAGTCTGGTCACCTTTAGCCAGAACTTGTCAACATGACAGATTTAAAAAATTGTTTCTCATTATCTCTGTCTTGCTATGTTCTTATTCACAGGAATATGGGATTACTTCCACAATACACTGCTTCTACAATATGCAACAGAGAGGAATGGAATAAATGTGATCTGTGGGCCTATTTTTGATTACGATTCTGATGGACATTTTGATTCTTTTGATACCATTGCACAGTAAGTAATGAAAAAAGAACAAGCAGTAAATGTCTCTCATTTTTCTCTGGTGAACTCGAATGGCTTTTATACAGTTCTTCAGGAGTGTCTCAATTAGGTAGCTTCACTTCGGCAGTAAAACAAAATCAAGTAGTACCATCCCAAATTCCAGTCCTGTGAATGGATGCTGTACCATTTTTTTAATATAAGCAAGGCAGAATTTATTTATTTCTTACACACGCATGCCAATGAACTGTGGTGGCACACTGCATTCTCCCCCTTTCCCCTTTCACAACAGCCCAGTGGGGTAAATCAAATAATGTGACTGGCCCATGATCACCTAGTGAACTTCATGGCTCAGCAGGAAATTGCATCTGTATCACACAGCTGCTAGTTCAACAGAACACAACCCTGGCTCTTATAACATGTAACTCAATAGCTTTTTGTTTTGTTTTGTTTTTTGTTACAATATTGGAATTCACGTGTATATTTAAAGTTTATTGGAATTGCTACAAAAAGCAGAACTCCACATTGTTTCCTTTCAACAGAAGCTGAAACATAAACATTACCTAAATCATCTTTCAGAAATATCTTCCGCATTATTTTAAAAATGAGATTGGCAGGATGAAGAAGGTGTGACAAACCCAGACCTACTGGGATCTGCCACACGTTAACTAAGCTGCCACCAACCATCCCCTATAAGAAGTCACACAGACCAGGGATGGATTTTTAACAAATAAAAGAATAAGGTTTATTTAAATACAACACACAGGGAAAATAAAATGATCAGGTGAATAAGATAAAGTAACGTGGCTTATTCTCATTCATACATGCATACAGTTTGGTTCACACAGAACCCTTAACTTGAAGCACAGACCCTGAACCTATCAGTTCTGGCTAACCAACAGACACCTGAACCTATCAGGTTGGTACTCTGACACACAGTAGTACCCTGTCTGACACACAGACTCCCACACCAGCTTCTTCTTCCCAGCTGCTGCTTCTTCACATCCCAGCGTCTCCTGAACTTCACCACACACGCTCACATATATATACAGTACAGCCCCTCCTCCTGATGTCCCGCCTTCCACTCCCCATAGGATGGAACTTTCCCTCCAAACCCATGACAGACAGGTAACATCAGTGCTGTATGTAACAGAAGGTAAAAATGAATTTATGGTAGAATGTGCCTTGTCTAAGTCAGTTATCTGAATTAGCTGTTATGTTAGATAAAAGAGTCTATTATCAATCTAACATTATATAAATATTGGTTCAATGTGGAGATGTCGCCAATCCAGCTTTATAACTGCTTAGATCGTAGTATGAATGTTCATGACTCTAAATGATTGCTTTAAAAAAACGAGATGGGCATTTCAATCTCTAAATTCATATCTGGCTTAGATTTTAGTCTTATCCAGATTTCTCCTGCCTTTCCACTACTGCATAGTGGAAGTGTACTGCATGTTGTTGCGGTGTTCACTGCTGTTGGATGGATGGATGGATGGATGGATGGATGGATGGATGGATGGATGGATGGATGGATGGATGGATGGATGGATGGATGGACGGATGGATGGATGGATGGAAGGAAGGAAGGAAGGAAGGAAGGAAGGAAGGAAGGAAGTTTCTGTCATCCCCCCCTCCCCAGTTCTCTTTCTCATTTCCTCTTGCCCTTCTTCAGCACCTGCAAGACTGAGAAATTTCATTTTGTAATTCTACCTCACACTGTTTTTGGTAAAAGGATCATAACTCTCTGCAGGAAAATTCTTTGCACTGCTGCTCATAGAATGTGCAGCCAGTTGTTTCTGTTGGGAAAATCAGTAGTGCCCTTGGGAGACATCCTGTTTCTAGCTCTGTATCATGTTTTGGTTAGAGGATTACAAGTCTTAGAATTCCCCAGGCAGCATGACCAGATAAGGTATAACCCACCCGGTTATTTAGGTTGGGACCTCGGTGGTATCTGTGCAAAATTTCTTGTCTGGTTCTTAAACATGCCGGAAATCTTTCAGTACAAACAAACAAACCCACAGACTTTCTGCTATATTTATAAGATGGGCAATTGTGTACTATCCTTTAATCTGGATAGTTTACAATGCATGTAAATATGCATATATATAGTAGAATAAATTCAGTTTTGGCTTGAGTGATCTCAGAAGTGGCCAAAATATGTATCAAATGCTGGTTTGTTTCTGTGTTTGAATGTATGATGTTTATTTATTGAGGTTAAAAACAGAACTAATTCAGGACCTTCATAAATAAACAAAACAGTGAAGGCTGTATTGAATGCATCTCTTATAGAAACGTGTGTTCAAAAGCGACATGAAACATATGAGTAAAGACATACAGGTACCCACCCCCACAATACACGTGTCCTTTCAATACTCTTCTCTCTGTGTCTGAAAAAATAGACTCTAATTCACAAGAGTTCAAATTGAAATAAATCAGTAGCTGAAATCCTGCTGCCATAAATTATGCTATCTAATGCTGGCATCAACTGCACATATTGTTTGGAAAATGAACAATCCTTACTTCTGGTGGAAATTTTTGGTAATCAAGGACTTCTGGGTTATTAGCTACATGAAGCTCCAGACAGTCTTGACAATCATAAGATTTTATGGAAATTATAGTCTAACACATCTGAAAAGTCATAAGTTCTCCATCCTCCTGTAGAAGAACTCGTTACCTGTCTGCATAACACAAACAAACACTTTGAAGACTAAGTGGCTGAAATCCTGTTGTGTCCTCCGTAAAGCTTATGACATTATCAGCCGCAAAGATTTTTGGAAAATGAAACATTTCCAGTTTATCCCCTGAAGGTCCTGTGGGTCCTGTGTAATCACTTTCATCATCAGAAAGCTGTTGGGGGTCACAGGACAGGAGGATAAGTCCTTGATTACCAAAAATTTCCACCAGAAGTGGAAGGACTGAAGCATCTTATGAAGCAAAGATTCAAAATAAAACAGATTTGAAATAAATAGATAATATCCTCATTGAGATGGTCTGTTATGTGTTTTGGATGATGTTGGGTATTCTGATGATGTACAGGCTATAGTCTGTACAGTGACTGAAGAAATGACATCTGCAATGAATTAACTGTATAGGTAGAACTAAATATAAATGGGTTAAAGGAAGCAGGAAGCCTTAAGGTTTGGGACAGTTTGGCTATGGAAGTAGTTGCTTCCAGGTTTATGGCCTTGTTGTTCCTGGATTTGCTGTCTTCTAGACTAGACTTAATGCCACATTTTTAAAGGATGGTTTGGACAGAGTGCAAGAATGTCTGCCACAATGTAGGAGGACGGATGAGATGACAGCCTAGAGCTTCCTTCCAGTCAAAGGGCCTTAATATCCTGTTAGCCACACGGTGCTGTTTACAAGCTTTCATGAGCATGTCTCAGTTGGCACAGTCTCAGCCATGGCAAGAGAATTCTGTTCACGGACTGGATGGAGAGCTGACGCAGGGATGGCCTTATGCATTATGGGACTAGGATGTTGGCAGCATTCTTTCAGTTTAAGATGATGGAGCCTTTTTTTTAAAAAAAAAAATTCTGATCTGACATATACTAAGTCCAGAGGCATCCAAAATTAACTCTTACAATCCTTTCAGTATTACAACAAGAATGAGACCAACAACAACAGCATGCTGTCAAGTAAATTCTGACCTATGGTGATCCTTTTAAGAGTTTTCTAAGTAAATACACAAAAATAGTTAATCATTCCCTTCTTCTGGGGGATGCCCTGGGACTGTGCAGCTTGCCCAAGTCTACACAGGCTGGCTCTTCTCCCAGGAGGCACAGCAAGGAATCAAACCCCAAATTCTGGCTCCACAGCCAGATACCTAAACCACTTTGTTTTAAATGTTACTGCCATTCCAAATATCAACAAACTGAAATTAAAACATAGAGTCTTAGATTTGGTGTATAACTTAGAATGGAATTTAATGGAATTACCCACATGATTTCAAAATTGACTAGATTTTCGATTTAGTAATATTTTGCATAGAACTTCAATTCACATTGATTCACAATTGAGCCATAATTATAAAAATGAAAATTATTGATTTCATAGATCCAATGTGAATTATTTAACAGGCAGTGTTATCCTCAGTTTCCCTCCAATTTTCTGAAATATGGAGCTGTTACAGCAATGTGACTATAGCTCCATTGTGTTAGATTACCACATGGTACACTATTGCCTCCAAATGAAACAGGACAGGCTCTCTCAAATACAGTTTCTCACCTTGACTTGCCTACTAATAATCACAGCTTGGGACAGTTACTTCTTGGTTTATAACTCCCAGAAACCCATATCCAATTGGGAATTCTGGGACATTTAGTCCAAAAGATAAATTTCCTGAACTCATCTGATAGTTTCATCCATTGGGAGTATTACCCTACTGAATGAGCTCTTAAAACATGCAGCTGTGGATGAGATCCATGTGTCACTTTCATAACTTAAATTATGAGGGGGTAATTCTAGGTGTGGCTTATTCTTCCAGCTAATTTGATGTCAAGAGAGGGAATGCAATTCACCTGTCAAGGAAGCTGAGGGAATATTAAGGCTTGGACCCTGAGTTTCTTTCCATGAAGGGATTCCTTCCAGTTGCAGAAGGGAGCTTACTCTCTCGGGCACTCTGGCTCACAAGAGATTGAAGGAGGAGTGATTTTTGCCCATTCCACCCTTCTTTTTTTCTCCAGGCACCAAATCCCATGCTATTTCCTACTGAGAAGATTTTGAGAAGTTGTGGGAGGAAAGAGGGGGAAATCTTTGTATTCTTCTTACCCAACCAGGAGCATGTAGTGGGTGCTGCTTATGAGAACTTAGAATGTAAGCCAGTAGCCTGAAATATTTCGATAGGGTAGGTCATTGTAATTTCCCTGAGCAGAACAGTGTAAACATAATTCTCCATAGTATTGATTTTTAATGGCCACCCAACAACAGATGTTCTTTTGTAGGCACGCAACCAGCATTCCTATGCAGATTCCTATCCCAACCCATTACTTCATTGTGCTGACTAGCTGTGAGGATCTCTCTGAGACACCACTGACCTGTTCAGGCTCATTGAAGGTTCTGTCTTTTATCCTTCCTCATCGTCCTGACAACTCGGAGAGCTGTGCAGTAAGTATGGTCTTATTCACTACAGCCCTTTGGAGATTTCTCTCTCTCTCTCTTTGGAGTAGAACTCTGCCAGCCACCATGAACATCAGCTGACTCTCGGGTTGTGGGAATTGTAGTATTAAAAAGTAGGTCTTCCAAGTTTTGCTGCAAGCGCTGCTGCTCTTGGTATTGGTGAAACGATTTCTACAGACTTGGCTCTGATGAGTCTTGAGTGCCCAACACCACTGGGCTAATAGATAATTGCATTTAGTCCAATATCACTCATGTCCAATAAGCAACTTGGGTGGCATAAACATTAAAAAATAATTATGCAAATTATGCCCTCTATTATTTACAGCATTCATTAAAAAAAGTCAGTAACGGGAACCTGAGTAATGGGTGTGAGGGCTGCTAAAGTCTGGTTCAAATTTCACTTCTCCTTGTACTCAGCGGGTCACCTTAGGCAAGCCAGAGTCTCCCACCACACCTTCCCATCTGCAATAAGGGAATAACAATGCAGCATTGCTGCAAGACATGTAGCGACAATATTTATGATGATGATTACATGCCATTAACTTAATGTTGAGTTACAGTATAGATACAAAATATTTAGAAATGTTTTACCTGTCTCTTCTTCTGATACTTTGGGACATATGGCATTTAATCTCTTCCGCCCTGATTGAGAATGGGGGACATTGGAGGGAAATAGCAGAAAACTATGCAGATAATGTAGAAAGGGAAGTTCTGCATGACTACCAAGCACTTTAAGAGGGGATGCAGCTGATGAGCCTCATTGCAGGACCATATAGGCCGGAGATACATGAGCAGATGTGGGGAATTTTCTTCCACTTCTTCTGAGGGAGGGAGTGATGGCGCTTGGAGTAGGACAAGCAATTCCCAGTGTTTCCAATGCACAGTCATTGATGCAGGAAAGTATTTCTCAGTGGTCATCAAACATGGATATGATTTTAACTCTCAGCCCCTGACTGAAGGGGCTGCAGGCACTGGAGTTAAACCCCACCTCTTCCAGTAGGAAGTGTTCTGTTTCCTCATCACTTTGGCTTGATAGTGGCACATGCCATCTTTGAGGATGGGCATGAGGGGATGTTGGAGGCGATTCGTTTAAGCAGAGAACTAATAAGGAAACAAAATGCTTCCTACAGGAGGGACTCCATGGTTGTTTCATTCTCATACTCTGTGGTTCATTGTATTGTTCTCTGGAAGGAAAGTTAACTATTACAAGACAGTCAGAAAAATCCAGGAGTAAAGGCAACATCCATTCAAGCCTCATTGCCCAGAGAACTCATTCCACAGAGAAATATGGCAATTTAATAGGGAAAAATAATAATAAAAGGCACCGGTTGACTGAGCAGCATTCCTTATATTGTTAAGCTGTTTGATTACTTGTCACTGAAAAGCTTGAATTTTATGCTGGTTTGCTTTATCAGGAAAATAAGCCAGAGATACTGTGGGTAGAGAAGAGAATGCAAGCACATGCAGCCCGTGTCCGTGATGTGGAGCTTCTGACGGGTCTGGATTTTTATCAGCAGAGAAGCCAGCCTCTCCCTGAAATTCTGCAACTGAAAACATTTCTGCCAACATTTGAAACACTGATTTACTGAAGGACTCTGAGTGTGTGTAATTTATTAGCAAAACAACATGTAAGAGGTTGCCATTTGGGTAGCACCTAGTGTCACAATCATAAAAGACTATGCCAAGCCAAATCAAAATTTATCGGGGTCACATTGGCCCATTCAGATCTAAACAATAAAACTTGGACAGATAGAAACAGTAAGAGTGAAAACAGAAGTACAATATATCTAATTTAGATGATACAATTAATTCTAATACAACAAAATAAAAGATGGAGATAAATTATTGTTTGGCAAATTACATATAGAAGATTGTCTGACAAACGGGATTACAGTTTCTTATCTGAGTGTCCTGACAAATTGATCAGAAGACATTGAACACCATTCCTTCTTTTCCTCCATAATGCTACAAAAGTGTGTGCTTGTCTACCCACATGTGTACATCCATGGAAGATATGGTTGGAAAACTTCAGAGAATTACAAATGGAAAATGTTGACATCTGGACTGTCTGCAAAATTCAGTGGGTGAGGAAGGATGCTTGGACAATAAAAGATTTCCATCCTTGTTACCTCAGATAAATCTGTTGGGAGCATAAATTCATGACAGGGTTTGTTTACTGGGAAATTAAAACATGTACAGGAAAAAAATTATTCACTCAGGTTCCATGTTCTTCATTTTTCCTGTAGTTTATCTCTCTCTTTCATCCCACCCTCACTCTGTTTTCATAAATCAGGGACTTCAAACTACAAGAAACTATGGTGTTCCACATCAGCATATAAATCGGTATAATGGTTGTAAAGAGTATTGTACAATTTGAAAAACATATTGGGTAATCAAAGCAGCTGGAATTATGAAGAATAGTAAAGTGTGATTTTTACAGTGCATGGTGGTGTTATTAGTGGTGATGTTTGTTAAATTAGTAGGAGTATTGGCTTCAATCCTAAATCACCTTTGTTATTGCCAGCTCTTTTGTTCTGTGAATATCCTCTCAGAAATCTGTCTTGTAATATGATTTAATTTCAAAGCAATCACAAGCTCCAGTATTGGGGGGGGGAGGTTTGGTTAGTTTACAGGGTGGCACTTCAATGTTCAAGGATGAGCATGTGTGGCCCCAAATTTCTGGAGACTGCCTACCCTGAATTTAGTTGCTGGAGAACCTAGGAAGCTTTTTTTTAATGTTAGACCATTCTTCTTGGCCTTGTATTCTCTCCAGTACCGTTGTATTCTCTGATCTTAGATTGACAAAATGGACAAGTGGAAATGAAATGGTTAAACAGTTCTTCAGCACTCATCATTCCAGTCCTCTGCTCATTCTGAAGCCATTTACTGTTGTTTTACCTGTTTAAGAAAGTGTGTTTGTATGCGGGGAGAATCATAAAAAAATTAGGTAGCCAAATGGTATAAGTGACCTGTTTGATCAACAACATGCTTGTTATGTGCTATCAAGTGACATTTGGCTTATAACCAATCCTAAAAAGGTTTTCAAAGTAAGTGAGATTTATTTATTTATTTTATTTTAAGTATTTTTTTCACCACTTTTCTCTTTGAAAAGGACCCATGGTGGCTTACAACATTGAAATACAATATTTAAATTTTAAAAGGAATGAGTATACAACAGTGATTTACATCATTAAAAGACAATATTTAAAGCAAAGAACAATCAGTATAAAGAGGCCTCTCACATCATTAAAAGTCAATATTAAAGCTAAGAGCAATAAGTATAAAATGTTTTTAAAATGCTATTCTAAGAAATGGAAAACACAAAAATGGAAAACACGAGTAAATCCAGTTAAAGCAGAAAGGCATAATAATTCATCTAAAAATTGCACACAGGTAGCTGGTTTATTGAGGGAAATCTTGCCTGAAGAGAAAGGTCTTTGCCTGCTTGTGGATGGACAGCAAAGATGGGGGTATGTCTGCTTTCCTGTGGGAAGGAGTTCCAAAGTCTAGGAGCAGCAACAGACACACCTGTAAAAGTGTCGAGACCAAGGGAAAGCCTCTACTGATTATCTTAACACCTGAACCGGCTCATAATGGGAGATACAGTCTTTGAGATAGCTTGGACCCAGGCCATTTAGGGCTTTATAGGTTAAAACCAGCACTTTTGATTGTGCCTGGAAACTGATCGGCAGCCAGTAGAGCTGCTGTTACAGGGGGGTTATGTGTTCTCTGTAACCAGCCTCAGTCAGCAATCTGGCTGCTTAATTTTGGACCCTCTGGAGTTTCCTGACATTTTACATCGGCAGCCCTATATAGAGTGTGTTACGGTAATCTGGCTGGGAAGTAACTAGGGCATGTGTCACAGTTGCCAGATCAGATCTCTCAAGAAATGGGCGTAGCTGGTGCACTAGTTTTAATTGAGCAAATGCACTCCTGGCCAACACCAAGACCTGGGCATCCAGGAGCACCCCCAAGCTGTGCACCTGTTTTTTTCAAGGGAATGTAACCCCATCCAGCACAGATTGCATGCCTATGCCTTGATCAGCCTTTTGACTGTCCAGGAGCACCTCTGTCTTGTCTGGACTAAGTTTCGATTTATTCACCCTCATCCAGTCCATTACTGAAGCCAAACAATGATCTAGAGCCAAAGTAGCTTCTTTGCATTTAGGTGGCAAGAGGTAGAGTTGGATGTCATCTGCATACTGGTGACATTGAACCCTAAAACTCTGGATGATCTCTCGCAGCGGTTTCATGTAGAAGCCAGTTTGAAATGGATCTAGATAATTTGTTTTCTCCGGAAACCTCTGGAGCTGAAAGGCCACAGCCCCCTCTAGCACCTTGCCTAAGAATGGGATATTAGATACTGGTTGGTAATTATTTAGTATTGTGGGATCCAAATAGTGTTTTTTAAACAATGGTCTTATTATTGTTTACCAGTGCCATCCCATCCTGTGAGTTTCCATGGCCAAGTGAAGATTTGAACCCAGGTTTTCTGAGTGTTTGTCCTTCACTCTATCCATTACACTAAATCAACAATAATAGGATTTTATTTCTTTAATTCTTTTTTTATTTTTATTTCTTTAATGCTTTAGCCTTTGGTTCCATTGATTTATGGGATGCCAAAGTAATCTTGCTGGATCATATCATTAATTCTACAAACAAGAAACCTCTTTTTATAAATATATTTGACCATGTACCCCTATCTGATATTGCAGTGTTGCAATAGCATCAGGTAACACATCAATATAATTGAACACACAATAATTCATAGGGGCACCCTTGGTTTGTATCTTAGGGTGTACTGTTGTATTTATGTAAGCAGTAACCTTGCTTACATAATACAGAAAGTGTATTATGTAAACAAAGAAAGATATACAGAAAGTGATTGGGTTCTACAGCCTATTGAGTTCCATGGGGTTTACTTACAAGTAAAATAACCTAAACCTTAAATCTGGGGATTTCCAGTTAACTGTTTTTTTTTGTTTCCATTTTTTTTAATGCTAAAGGAACTGGTTCATAACAGCAATTGGCATTTTTGTTGCTAGGTTGGATTAGAGCCTTGTATTTGATGGCTTCGTGGTTAGCACACCAATTAGTTTCCATGGAAAATTTGGGTATTTCCTAATTAAGACCCAGTCCTGGTTGTTTAGTCACAAAATCAGAATGGAAATGCTACTTTGCTTAGGTACAGTGTTCAAATTATGGTCCTAAATTCAAGCAGTTCCTTCTTCTGGGGAAAGTGGTTGAATTCTGTATCCCTGACAACATTCTAGCTTCTGGAAAGGAAAGTCTTAGTATGTACCAGTGACTTCAACTACTTCAGTTGGTTTCTTAAAATTGCCTAGTTGAATATTCAGTTTTTAAAGAAGTGACAAGGGTTTTAATGTTAGAGATGGAATTTTCTAAATTAGCTCTTCTGAGTACACTCTTAATAAAACTGCTAAGACATGAGCCAGAAGCAGTCATGAGCATATTCAAATGCAAGGAACAGGATTGATGGCAATCTTTTGGGGGCTGGTTTATCTGCTCTTCCTATATGAGTTACATTTATGCCCACTTTTCTTCTAATGAGCTCAAAGTGGTGTACATGATTTTCTTCATCTGTGTATGAATACAGCCCAAGAATAATGCTAAGTGCATTCTGTACCTAAGTGGGCACGAGAACCAGGACCTCCTAAGATGCAGTTCAACACTCTAACCACTACACTACAGCAGCTCTTGTTAAAGGCTACTAAACAAAATGCTTTTTCAAGGTCCAAGAGTGCTTATGGCTTACGTACCATGACTATGTCAATGACGTGACTGAGAATTCCAGGAAAACATATAGTCTCAAAATGAAGAAACATGCAGTGAAGTGATTTCTGGATGATTCATGAGAATCTTCCAGTGGATCATAAAAGCCAGTGGTAAGGAATGGTGGAGGTGGTAGGCCAAAACTTCTCCACTTTCTTATAACCAGTTTCCTACAGTTTGCACTCTTGACTATCATGAGAAAGTTTCCTCTCCACTAAATTCAACAAGTCTGTGTAGTCACTGTGAATGGCTGTAGACATGTCTGGACTTTAGCTGAGCTGGATGGAAAGTTTCACCTTCCCTGACTGCCTTAAAACAATCCTTCGTCTTTGGAATCTGCAAAATTAAACAGGTAGAATGATTAGACTCAGTGCAAAAAGAGAACTTGCTACAAGTATAACATGAACCACAGAACAAATGTTCCCATTTATCAGAACAATATTAAATTATAGTATAGAAAAGCTGGGTGCGTACTTAGAAGCCATATATAACTCAGGAGGTTTACTTCTGCTGATTAGAATATGTTAACTTTGCTTATGGACCTAGCTGATACAATAGACATTGAGTCAACCATTGTAAAGAAGAATTGGAAATAGCTTGTGATTCTGGCCTACAAATGCTGTACTGATTAGACAGCACAAATTAGATGGATTTTTTTTTTACATTACTCACTTTAAATCCGCAAACAGTAGGAACAATGTATCTGGGCAGTGGAAGCTGGGAAATCCAGGAGAAACGTCCAGAAAGAAATGCAGTCTTGCAGCGGGAGCACAGAGCTTAATTCAGCTGATACCAATCACTCCCTAGAAAATGAGTAATGTAAATCAGTCTTTTGGGATGACTTCCAAAAATGCATTTTATATATAAAATCTCCCTGAAGTCATTGTGTATTTGTTTGTGCATTTGACTGTGTGTGTGCCGGCGTTGGGCCATCCATCCCTTGCACCTTCTACCCAGTCATCCCCTGAATGATTTCTCCTGGATCACCTTACCTCTGGAAGTTTGCTAACCCTTGCTAAGGGCCACAAATATAGCTTTGCAGCCACATGTGGCCTCATTGAACACTAGGGATCTTAAATGGCATGCTGCATATTTAACATTGTGTGTAGTGTGGTCTTCTTCTGAAATCGAACTGCTAAATAGCTCAGTGCTTTTGGCCTTTGGCTTGTGAGGCCAGAGGTTGGGAGTTTGATTCCCCACTGTGCCTCCTTGCTAGGGGCTGGACTTGATGATCCATAGCTCTGTAGTTCTAAGATGATGATGATGATTTTTAACATTAAAAGCATTGGGAGCAGTCATACAAATCCAGTTTGTTGGTGACTTAAGAGCCTGGGAAAGTTTCTTTTTTTGTCATTCACAGTGCAGTCTTGTAGTTCTTTTCTCAGAGATACATCTTACTTTCTCCAATAGCTATTACTCCCAGTTGAGTGTCCACAAGACTGCGACATCTTTTGTGCTATCATTTCTTAGTAATGCTTACCTTGTGATACAGAATTCTAGAATCATGCTGTTTCAGAGCTGGAAAGGAACTCAAAGGTTGTTGAATCTAGCCCCACTGCCATATAATCAGCATTGAACAGTTACATTACATCCCAAACCAAGAACATATGGTGACACAAACATTTTGTTTCAATCAAGATGTCAATGACAATGTATTCAATTTATATACCACCGATTTGGCCAAGTGCCACTCAGGGCAGTTCATGGCACAGAGCAACAATAAACCATGAAATCATAAAATCATAACAATAACTATGAGAAGAAAAACATTATAACAATAATCAGACAATTGAAC